GTGCATTGCTACGGTATTTAACTTCTGTAAATCCAGTTATAATACTGATGATGTAAAGTTTAAAATGTAACATTTGTTGTAGGAATTCTAATGGAGAAGATTGTAGTGTAAAAAAGTGAGACGAATGTACTTTTTTCCCTCTACTGAAGGACCTCTCTGGAGACTGCTGGGGTGGGCTCTCTCGTGGCTTTAAGCACCCTGCAACCGCTGCTGCACCTGACAGACAACCGCCTGTTAGGTGTAGGAGGTGGGAGCAGTGTGTTGGAAGCCATCAGAGAGGCTGTGCCAGCAGCTTTGCTTCACCTCACACGTGGTTCTTGGCCACTCCTGATTTCCTCAACTGTCATTAGCTCTCTGCAGTCCCCTGTGTTGGGGTTTTTTTTTACCTCAAAACACGGAGCTCTGCAGCTGACCAATCAGAGAGTGGGGAGTGCAGAGAGGCAGCTGCCTGGCAGCCGCATAGGAATCAATGGAGGGAGCACATTTTCCCCATTTTGATCCACTTAGGGGTTGAATTTCTAAAAATCCCTTCTTAGCGAGCACCTACACCATGGTAGGAGCGTTCTCCCTGAATTTGGTGGTTTGGCCTGGGCGTTGATTTTACAATGAGGGGACTTTCTTTAATATATATAGATGGCACTTAAAACTGATTACAGTAGTCCAAGCAAGTAGAACTAATTCATTGTTGTTGTTGTTGTTCAGTTGCACAGTCGAGTCCAACTCTTCGTGACCCCATGGACCACATCACGCCAGGCCCTTCTGTCTTCCGTCGTGCTTTGGAGTTTGCTTAATTTAATGTTCAGAACGAATTCATAAATTTCAGTATATAATACAGCTGTTAAAAACGTAAAATGGGATTAGCATTTCTGTGCAACTCTATCCCATAATTGCTGCCTCTTCTGCTGGCTATAACACCTCTGGCTTCTAACGAGACAGCTCCCTTCTTACCTATGGAAATGCTTCACAGGCAGAATGTCTATCATGGGTGTGTGTGTGTATACACGCGCACACACACACACACACACACACACAGACTATATGGTATAGAAATGCTAGTCACACTCACCATCTGCTTGCTTTTTGATTTTCAAGGTTACTGTCTCTCCTGCCATCTGTAACAAATGTATAGCTTCACTCAATGGTTTTCCTTTTAGACTGCTACTGTTTATTGCTAAGATCCGGTCTCCAATGTGAATTGCACCTGTCCTGAAACACGTTAAATAAAACATACAAAGTTAAATAAAACATTGGTAAGTCCAATAAAAAATGAAAGCAAGGTGACATTTACTATATTTGAGATAAGCAACATTGTGTTCAGTTTTCCCTTTTATTTCACTTTTAATTTAAAGTGTGAGGTTAATAGGAGCTGCTTTCAAATTCTTGCCACAAAGGCTATGTGGATTACATGGTCTCGGTTTCAGAATCAGTAGCAGAGCCAACGGATAGCAATAAAGAATTCTGCTTCCTTCAGTATGACTGTATGGGCTAGTGTTACACATTTATGGTGTAATCCTAACTAAAGTTACAGTCTTCAGAGTCAATTAAAGTAAAATACTTCCAAATACTTGATGCATTTTAAGAAAATAAATGCTCTAGACTGAACAAAGTTTCCAGTCAAAAGAAAAATACTGTAATTATTATTGCAAAATGAGCAACCACTCACTATCTTCATGTTGCATGAACAAGAAATGAAAACATGGATGCATGGGATCCCAGAGTTGAGATTAAACAGGCAACAACTTTATTAAGGGAATTCCATAGCTACCAAGACCAGTATGGCGTGGAAGTTGTAGCCCACTCTGATGAGATGACCACAGGAGCTAACACACTCGTAGACATCTAAGAGCATGGCATAACTCAGCTTATCCTAAAGCTGAACTCATTCCCCTTGGCTGAACAATGATCTGTAAACATACCCGTGGGCCTCTCCAGTCTCATGAATGTCCTGTCATTTCCCACCATGATCATGGGTATTTTTAACTACCAATACATCCGGTACTATTGAATGTGTTTTTAAGAGGATAATTGTGTAATTTTATTGCACTTGTGTGCCTAAATTATCTCAATGTGTTATATTTTATTGCACTGTTGTGCCGTGTAAGCCGCCCTAAGCCCGCATGCGGGGAGGGCGGGATATAAATGAAATAAATAAATAAATGATGTCCCTTTCAGGCACCTCCCCATAATCTCCCTACATGTGTGTTCATGTTCACATGGGTCCTTCTGCTAAATTTGTGATACATTAATATAATACGCAAGTAACCAAAAGAGCCACATTTAACCAGTTAACACATAATATGAAAAATCCAATCTAGGAGAAGGACTACTTCAGGGAAATACTTCAGGGGAAAATAAATTAACTAACAAAGAATTCCTTACCAGAGCCAAGAGCCCACTGTGACCTCCCACCCAAGTCAGTAGAAAAGAATGTTGATCTGCCTGCCTTGAGTGGAAACCAGATCTATATTTGCTCCATGACTCCCTCTCATGCCTGACCTCCCTGCCAAACTTCGATTTTATGAGGATTGTGGTTCTGTCAGGCTATTTCTTTCTCCATCTTCTGGCAGCTAGGAATGCTGGGATTCCCACTGTAGTGGGAGACCAACTGGTATCCTGGTGCTTCTCTGGGGGTGTGTGAAAATGGAATGCATGCCAGCACTGTACTGGCATGTTAATGTCACTTCCAGTAAAAACTGGAAACTTCATAGTGGATGCTCTAGAATTTACAAAGACCACAGGGCTTTTGTAAACTCCAGAGAGTCTAATGATTTCATGTCCATTTTTTACCAGATGGATATGATGCCAGCATGCTGGTGCAACATGACCGTGTCAGACTCCACCCCCTAACTTGTCCTGGGGGCTGCTGACTGTGGCCTGGCAACCATACTGGCCATTCCCAGTCCATCACTGCTGCTGTAGCTTTCCTTTTCTTTGCTTTTAAATATATCAAAGGTTCAGAAAACTGATCTTATGTTGCTAAATTCTTTATATTCTCACATTCTACACTTACATTACTAACCGTTGTAATGGGAAGTCAGGAAGAGTCTCCAGGTTCCCAAAAGAATTAATCCAAGCCACTTCTGAAGAAATTCATTTACACATTATAGTACTTGGGCCTAGGAGCCCTAACTGCAACAACTCCAGCAGCCATCTTAACAACACAGCTTCTTCCCCCCATACTCTACCAGTAGGCAGAATGGCCTTTCCTCCAAACACTGATTCTTTCTTACCTGTATCATCCTTTGTAACTCTTTAACACACTAAGAAAGGCACCAACTGCAATCGTCTTTATTCATGGCTAACAGACTTCCAGAAATGAAAATGTGCAAAGGAAGTAAAGTAACTCACCCAAGAGACCACAACTGAAAATCATATATTTAGTACTCAGTGGTTACAATAAATACCTGGAAAGACTTCTGAAAATGTCACCTAGAAGTGGGTTAATCCTTATTAAGATTCCCACATATTGCATTAACTAGGATAATCTTCTGCTGGACAGACAGTAATGAATGGATGAAAGGGAGATTGGGCAGAGGGAGATCAATTCCCTTTGGGATCTCTACAAGTTTATATGGATCATGAGAACAAGACCTAATGAAATATATACTGTAATGATTTCATGTTTAACTGTGTGTGTGTGGCTTTAAAAGTTTGGTTTGCATGGCTGTGATGATAATCTAGAGTGCTGGAATCAGGCAAGTGATATGATTGGTGAGTGACAGAGGGGGGTTTGGAATGGATGCTGTGTGGAGGATTTGAATGTCTGTCAAGAGGGTCAGTTAGATATGACAGTTGATGAAGATCAGTTAAGTTCTGATTTCTGTGAGAGAAGCAGAAGTTCTGTGTATGAGAGGAGTGAGACCCATCCCTGTGTGGGATGAGTTTAGTTCTGGGGTCTGAAGGAGAGACCTTCTTGTGTGTGATATGAGAGTTAAGTGCTGTGTCTGAAAGAAAGTGACAAGCAGTTCTGTGTTGAAACAGTTATAAGTTGAAGCTGAGTGTCTAGGAAACAGTAAAGATTATATGGACATGAAGGAAAAAGTGTTACAAAGTTACCTAAGGAAAAATCCCTGTCAGTAGGGAGCAGACTGTGTGTTATACCTACTTTACTAGTTACATGGTTCTACCCTCGTATTTATGCTTTCTTTAAATAAATCCTATTTCATTCAAGTATACCAGCTCTGGAAAGAATCCTTCCTCAGACCACATAGTTCCTCGAAAGCTTAAACCCTCGATATACCTACCCAGTGATGAATATTATATTATAAAGGTTTGGAAAGCCTTAAATTTCCTGGTGGCAGCCGGATTACCCAGTAGAGAAAAACACAAAGAACACTTTTAAAGGGAAACCAGACCTCCCCAGTAAAGGGGGCGTCACATATACCCTCTGAACTTCCTGGCATTTGGCCACCTCAGTTTTTTAAAGGAAAGCTTGGATGCTCGTAAGGAGTAGGAACCAATACAACAGTGAGCTTCAGGCAGGCTTGCTTTGCTCTATCTGGACTCCACCCCTCCTTCCACCATAGTTTCCAGGCCCTTCCGGTTTCTTCTGAGATCACCCATCCACATCAAATAGCCTTTCTCCCTTGAAGTAAATGCAATTATGACAGTCTATCCAAATGACTGCTCCTAAACATATGCCAGGCTAAGAGAATGTTCATATCATAGCCCTGCCACAATAATGCTGATTACATGGGATTTTAGAACATAAACACAAGGAAGACTTATTGGCAACCACTCTGTGTCACATACTTGTTTGGTAAATATAACTTTACATATACAGATGTTTAGCAATGTGCATATGCACAAAACAAGGCACAGATTGCTAATTCTATCACACTAACAAATATTTGTGGTTTTTATACAAGAAGTTAATAAAATCATCACTTATCTGAGTGTGGCTGAAATGGAAAGTTTCTTTATGTGATTTATGATGACAATATCCTTTGCAAAATTGTATTCTAGGTTTAACAGCCTTGTAGCATATACTAGCAAGGAAAAGACTGAAGATCATTACATGTTTTCTTTGTGATAAATTGTGGGAAATGCACAGATTGCTAGGGAAGAATTATTACATATGACTAAATGAATTGTTACACATGAATGAACACAGAAAATAGCTGCACTATGAATACCTTCATTTCAATTTACCTTTCAGCGAGTCCGCCTTTAGTAAGACTGGAGATGATAATGGGATCAAAGGGCTCTTCAGTGCCAGAAATAGTGATCCCAAGAGGTCCTCCATATCGCTTGAGCTCAACAGTATAAATAATTGCTCCTGAGCTCTCTTGTTCATCTGCAACACATGCCAAGAGGATGCAATTGGTTTCTCATGAAAGAAGGAATAAAAAAAACAACACATTCAGACTTACGATCAGAAACCAGAGAGCACATTCTCTAACTGTTACACTTCAGATATATATTTCAGCTTTCTTCCATTTGGAAGCCTACACTTGACTTTCCTAGCAACAACAGAGAATCTCTTTCCTATTTGCTGAAGTGGAACCAGGATAGGATCCTCATTTTGTTGGATACAGCACTATTGTAATCTGTTACTCTCCTTGGTTTTCCTGTGTGGGTAGGATAATCAGCTAGGTAAATGTACTGTCGCACTATATCCAACAATATCTGGAAACCAGAAATGGGTTTTGATATTATTTTGATGGATGGATTGATTTAGAGGATTTCTTTGCTGCTGCTTCAGAGTCCAGTTTGAGGGGGCTTGCAATTAAAAACCACAATATTCTATTTCCCACACATACGGAACTTCAAGACAAAATTATAGCAGCATGGCACTGGTGTCAGGGTTTCATGTATCCCAATCAATTTGATGACATCTAGCTTATATGTCATGATATGGTTTTATGGTCATAATCTTTATGACCATTGACCAAAGACCATAATCTTTATGACCATCCATTGAACCCCAATGCTTGCTAATTATGGACATCCACACCTGTGCTGTTTATAGGCTAGTATCTGTACTTGTCCACATTGTCACTGAATGCAGGAAAACGATAACCTAGGAAGTAGAAATAAATAGGCCATTCTGCCATGGCTGACTGAACTAAGTGGTCTATTTACAATAGTACATTCACTTGGCTTGGGAGACTAAAAAGTGCCACACTTTCCAGCACTAGTTAGAATGTTTTCAGAAGTCATTCAGAAATGGGCTCCATCCAGGAGCCAGCCTTACTCACTAGTTGGGGCTGCCACATTTCAAGGTGAAACTTAAAAGAAATGAATTAACAAACATTTCCTCACAACCAACTAAAATGTTTATAGCTCTGAGGCAAAGTCCAGGTGTCTGTATTTTAGTGTCTATAAATTCTTATTCTCAGAAACATGTTGAACAATTCCAGTTATTTTGAACTTCCTGAGCTTTTTCCTCAGAGACAGCATGGTGTAGTGGGTAAGAGTGGTAGATTCTAATCTGGAGAACCGGGTTTGATTCCCCACTCCTCCACATGAAGCCAGCTGGGTGACCTTGAGTCAGTCACGGTTCTCTCAGAGCTCTCTCAGCCCCACCTACCTCATAGGGTGTCTATTGTGGGGAAAGGAAGGTGATTGTAAGCTGCTTTGAGACTCCTTCGGGTAGAGAAAAGCAAGGTATAAAAACTAAGTCTTTTTTCCCTACTGAATATCTTCCTTAAAAACTCCTCTAAATAGATGGTATTTGCTAGCCAAATTTGAAATGGTACAGGCTTTTTAACCACCCCAGCATTCTACCACCTTATTTCCACTTCATTCTTTTGCCGATAAGATCCAGCCTGACTCTGAGCTTGGCAGGGGGCCTTGAAGGGGATTAGAGTATAACTCAAAGAAATTCATGTTGAGGATACTTGCTGCCCTAAATGAAGCCACGGTTTTTAGCAGTTTATTAATTGTTAACAATGTTAAGGTGCTTTATGTTTTATTTAGCAAATCACCACGAGCACTTTCTCTGGAAAGGTGGCATAGAAATTTTCTAAATAAATGAACAGAGCATTTGCAGTTCCCTCTTCTTAGGGATTTTCCTTCCCTTCCCTTCCCTTCAAGAGTTGAAAAGGGTGAAACACAATGATTTACAGTGCAATGCTAAGGAGAGTTACTCCAGTCTAAGCCCATTTATTTCATTGGGCTTAGACTAGAGTAACCCTGCATAGGATTGCACAGATAGTACTGAAAACAAAGGGGATGAACTGCTGCTGCTTGGTATCATCAATATATTTAAAAGGGATGGGCAAAAACCGGCTCAGGAGCCAAAATTCAGCACAAACTTGGGCTGGTTTGCAACCCCCAAACTGATGTTCGGGGAAGGTGCCTTCCCTGAACATTTACCAGACTTTTGTCTGGTTTGGCTGTTCAGGCCATTTAAACCTAACAGCTGAGTGGCAAGGGTCTGCAGATGACCTGCTAGGTTTAAATGGCAGTGAGCCACTTCACTGGTTGGTTTCGCTTCCCCCTGCTTCGAAGCGGGGGGAGCAAAATGGACTGGTGAAATGGCTGCCAGCCATTTCAGCCTAACAGATGATGGGTGCACCCACTTCGAAGCACGGGGAAGCAAAACTGACCAGTGAAATGGCTGCCAGCCATTTCAGCCTAACAGCTGATGGGTGCACCTGCCTCGCTGTTAGGTTTAAATGGCTATGAGCCTGTCAGTGAAGCCATCTGCTTCAAAGCAGGGGGAAGCAAAATCAACAGGTTAAATGGCTACCAGCCATATAACCCTTCCTGGATGGACCCCCCTTTTCTCCCAGCTGTGGCTTGCCATGGCCAGGAGAAAGGGGGAACTGAACTTGCCAGACTGGCTCAGTTTGGGTGGGGGCCTTTTAGTTTGGTTTGGGGTTTAGTTCAGGGGCTGCCCCAAACTGCAAACCAAGTTTTAGGTTTGTGCCCATCCCTAATATCTAATTCTCAACATGGCCCATTTGTGGATACTTAAATTTTGAGATTAGAGCCATAGGTAGATAAGACAGATTTTTCTCCAAACCTATGAAAAGCCCCAGGTTTGCAGAAAAATCTGAAATCTGGAAAAAAAGATTACACTGAGGGTTAAAACGCACCAAAATCACAGAAAGTGTCTGTAGTTTAAAGAAACAAATGCCCTCAGTAGCTCTTGCTGTGCAACCACAGCAGTATTGCCAGCCTTCAGGCTTTGATTTCTGTTTGTAAAATGAAGAGGGACGGGCATGGCCTGCCAGGTCTTCTCAAGTGGTACCAGCCCCTTTTTACAAAAAAAATATATTTCATGCTCCCATCCCCATCCCCATTATTGTTTTCTTTGGATATAATTTTTTTAATTTCATGAAACAAGTATTCACCGTGTTTTAAATATTTTTTTAAAAAACTATTTTAATGGGCTAGCAAGTCACTTGAGTATTTTGTATTAGTACAGACTGTACAGAAATGTTAATTGATTATGACTCTAATCGAGAGGTGTGCAAAACCCCCCCCCCAGATATTTTTCAGTTTGGGTCTATTAGACCCCCCCAAACTTCAGTAGTTCAGAAAAATCCCAGATCCCAATATGAGTATAGTATTCGGATCCAGTATTTTTCAGAAATGCCTAATTTTTTCAGGTCCAATAGACCTGAGAAGAAAAATATCATTTTTTTTTTTAAGCCAGCCTTGGCTTCTTCTGCGGTGCAGTTTAAACCGCGCTGCAGGAGAAACTTGCCCCAGGATCTGCATGGGGCAGGGAGGTCTCTCCCTGCCATATGCAGACCTGGCTGGGAGGACGTCTCCTGCAGCATAGTTTAAACCGCACCGCAGAAGAAGTTGGCTCAAGGATCTGCATACAGCAGGGAGGCAAGAGAGGATCAGCTCTCAGCTCCTGCTGCCCCGGCCGATCCTGGGCTGTCTCCTTTTGCAGCTCGATTTAAACTGAGTTGCAAGAGGAGCCCACCAGCCATTTGTTATAGTTGAATATACCTGAATAAAAGCCCCCCCCCCCCCCCCTCCCTTATTCAGGCTTAGCTATACCAGTAGCTGATAGATTCTCTGATCTGTATGTAGCTTAAATAATACCCAAAAAATACTGGTAAGGTATTTCTAGGGTATTTTTTTGGCTCAGTTTATGTCGAATGCACACCCCTACTCTAATCTGTCGTTGTACCCAAATTTAAATAGGATCATTTACATCTTATATATCATAATAGTTAATCATCTAGTAATAAGCAATTCACTCAATAAATAATATTAATGTTTTTAATTTATGTAACATATTCATTTAGTAGTAGAATTAAAACGCTAGTAAATACTAGCTGCTGTAATTCAAACTAAAAGATACATTATCAGGCTTTGTAACTACCATAAGGCCTGGTCTTCTACTTCTGCACAAACAAAGATTTGGAAAGGTAGTATTTGTAACAGTAACTGAACTGGAAACAAATGAATAAATGTTAAGGGCCATGGAACCATTTCACATAGATTTCTATGCATACAGTCTACTGATGGTTATCAGTTTTCAGACTGAAAGCAATTCTAATGGCTATATGGAAAGCACAGCTTTTTCATGAGACTTATCTTACTTGGCAACAGCACTATAACTTGGGGGGGTGTCTTAATTAAGAGAAAAATACCATTATGAATTTTTGTTGGGACATATCTGTGGCAATAGCATCATCTCTTTTACCACTAATGTTAACAAACCACATGCTCACACAAATGCTATCCTTAAGCCTGGGGGGCTGATTATCCTTATACTTTCTAATAAGAGGACTCATAAAAGAAAACAAAAATCATTCAGATTGTTCTTTTGCATGGTAAGAATATGAAGTATGAAATGAGAGGAAGCTATGGACTGATATATATTGTGGCTGCGTCCACACAGCTGTTTTGGTCTGCTTTGCTTTGACTCCCAAACTGGAGTGGTCTGTTTTGGAGGATCCATACTACATTGTCATCTACTTTCCAGCCTTTCCCCTCCTTTGTTACAGTGTCCCCCCAAACGTGCTTTGCTATGATTTTTCCAGAAAGGTCACAATTAAAGTGGGTTTGTATATCATGTGGATGGGAAACTGTGGATTTTCAAACCTCCCTCCCAGCTGTCATCCCCTCATAGTAGCCACTCCCTTTCTGTACCACTGTGGGGCTTTTTGCAGACGATTATTTTTACATGGGTAATTACCATATTGCTACAGTGTGTATGAGTGGAGTGGAAGAAATGGAGGCCGCAAGGGGATGAACTAGGAAAATGTGGTGGAAAGTACCTTGTGCATTCTCTGTTGCCACTGCCAATGCCTCTGTATTCACAGTATCAATGGATGTGCAATAGAGAATTTTTGCCACGGAGAAGCAGCCTATGTATGTGAAAGAGGCAGGATTTGATGGCCTTGACAGTGATTTGAAGAGCAAGTTTCTTTGAATTAAGGAGGTATGCTCTGAAACATCTTGCCCCCAAATTATTTCAGAAATCCTGGGTGTAATTTTTCTACATGGAATTCGGAACAGGGTCTGAAGTAACCAGTGTGGTATAGTGGTCAGAATGCTGAACTATAATCTGGGAGACCCAGGTTCTCTGCTGTGCCATGGAACCTCAATGGGTGACCTTGGCCCAATCACACTCTGTCAACCTAACCTACCTCACAGGGTTGTTGTGAGGATAAAATGGAGGAGGAGAAAGACTATATAAGCCAGTTTGGGTTCCCGGTTGGGAAAGGAATGGGGCATGAATCTCTAAATAAATAAACCAACCATGTTAAAGTATGAGCTAAGCAAGGAGGACTTGTGCCATATCTTCATTAAGGAGAGTACTTAGATCTCCCAATATCTGGCAAAACTGTTCTCCAGAAGCATTTACCTTGGGTGGAAGCTTTATAGTTCAAAAATGCTCAGGCTGTACTGAAACATACTGATTACCTTAATTTATACGCACACATATACAACTTTACAATATATAAATATGATATAGATAAATGATATACTGAGCCTAAGAGACATTTTTGGAGCACATAAAAATTTTAAAGTAGCTCACTATGAATACCAGAGTTATCTTCATCTTTCCGGATTTTTAGCTTTACAAGCTCCTCACAGTGCTGCAGGATTTGAACAGCGTCTTCCATGGAACAGTTATCCAGTCGAATATTGTCTATGGCAAGCAGTTTATCACCTAGTTCTAATGTTCCAGTTCTGTTAACAAATGGAATACATTATGTGATTAATTATTTGAATGTACTGCCTTTTAATGCTATCAATGCAGATGTGCCCATTAAGTATTTTTAATGGTTTAATTACAAAACCAATAATTTTGTTTTGTATCTTGAAGTAGTAGAGATTAAAAGCATCTAACAGAAGAGTTTCACTTAGTTTAGAAACATTACACAGAACTTTTACAAGTGCGGATCTGTTTAAAATCTCTAGAGTATTAGAATAGCCAACACAGTAACTTTTCTTGCCAGCTTGAGAGTTCCTACCTGTGTGCTACACTTCCCTTCTTAATATCAGAAATAACAAGAGGATCTCCTGGTTTTCGACTGGATGGAGCTGAAATATATAAAACACATGTACACTGCAGTTTTAAATTTTAAAAAGTCGCTGCTTACACATAGCATATGCTAATGAGCAGTCATATTTTATGTGAAATGCTTATAAATGACTTTTTTGTGTGTTGAACATAAATAGAGGCTGCTGGATCAGACCAGGGAGTCATCTAGTCCAGGCCTAGTAAGCCCCTGGTCAGGGTGGGGGAATCCCCTACCTCGAGCTTCTGGGGCCTACTACCACTCCAAGCAGCAGTGGGGATTTAAAAACAAAAACAAAACCTCTTTGGTGTTGCAGGCATCACTTCTGGGGAAAACCCAGAAGCAACAACAGTAGCTCTGGGAATTGCTGGAAATGTTATGGCTACCAAAGAGTTTTTGACAATTCCTAGACCTACAGACGTTGCTTCTGGTTTTTCCTGGAAAGTGGCATCCTCATGCTTGTGACAACACCCCCTCCCCATTATGTCCCTGCCCCCAATCCTCCTGCTGGTTACCTGGCTCAGCCTAGTAACTTTTTTCAGAGATGTGCTTCTCACAACGGCCAACTAATTGTCCTGGAAGATCCTGGTAATTAAATGCAGAAGGCATGTGCGCTACCATAGGGCAAATTCCTTTTCGTTAGGCCTCTTGTCCTAGATTGCTGCATGACACTTAACAATATCAATGTGAACTGCTGAATGTCACAAATCCTGGATACTTTGAACCGTGGTACAGTTGGCTTCCATGGAGGCAACAATTCATTCAAAACTTAGCAAAATGCACAAAGAAACCAAAAGATATCATGATTTTATGATACTTAGAAGCCATATGAGCATCCTTTTATGCTTCACCTTGAAAACAGAAACTAGAAATGCCGCACTTGTGAAAATCCACTGAAATTCAATTGCATATTATATGAAGTACAGAGTCCATGAAACACATGCATTACTTTCTTCACATGAGATATTCATATATTCCACGTGTAGTGTGGAATATATGTCTACTTTTACGAAATTATTATCTTCATATTCCATTAGCACATACATTTTTTGGACATCTTTCAATGACCTTTTAAAATATTTGGTGATGATAAAGTAGCTGTGTTATAAAAATTGATCTTTTAAAGATCTATACTCCATTTCTCTCTTTAAAATCAATAGAGATGGAAAACAAATTAGATTAAATTGGAATTCCTTACTTCTCTTCAAGACTGTATTTCTTAGTAATTAGTTAAAACTGGTCTGCTTTAAAAGCAATGGTCCCATATGTAACACATGTAGTACAACATCTGGTTCAAATGGCTTTGGTTGTTACAAACTGAGACGTGGGTATTTATTTATTTTTATTTAAAACAATTTTATGCCACCTTTCCATGTAATTTGGGGTACCCATTAAAATAAGAGTTTAAAACTACATATTATATAAAACAGCATCTAAAAACATAAATAATTAAACACATGAATGGGAGAGAGGGTCAGTGAAACAACACCAAATGAAACAGATAAGTCTTCACAAAATGGATAAGTATAATCCTCAGTGAAAGGATACTGGCATGAAATTGTAACATCTCTGTTATATTCCTCATTAACATACCAATAACTTAATTAGGGATGCCAGACCCCCCCCGGTGGGAGCGAGGATCCCCCGTTTCAGGTGCTCCTGGTGGTGGGGGTGGGAATTATGCCCCCAAAGAGGCAAGAAGCCAGAAATAAACCTGACTGGGGGGGTGACACACTGGTTTTTGGGCAAAACTCTATGGTAGAAGCTAATTCTACCACAGAGGTTTTGCCCACAAACCAGAGTGTCGCCCCCGACAGGCCTGCACCACTTCTAGGTGGTGTAGGCATGTTGTGTTTATTTCCAGCTTCTTCCCTCCCCACTCCTGGTAAGTTCACCCCATTCCCCACCTGCTGGTCCAATGGACCTGGCAACCATAAACTTAATCCTAAAACCTTCTAAAATGTATTAACCACTCCTCCATACAACTGCTCCAAAACATAATGTAGCAATACAGAATGCAGATCAATAAACCAAGAAATATTTAGAATTGAAGGCTGGATTATGGGTTGGGCATCATCACTTTCTTCAGTGCAAGGAATATGAATTTATCTATTAATTTATTACTTATTTACATTATACCCTGCCTTTCTCCCCAATGAAGACCGAATTCCACTCCTCTAATTTATCCTCACAGTGAGTGTGTGACTGGCCCAAGGCCACCCAACAAGCTTCCATGGCACAGTGGGGATTCAAATGTGGATCTCCCAGATCCTAGTCCCACACGCTAACCACCACATCACACTGGCTCTCTATTAAAATGTAATAAAAATATGGATTGTTTAAAACGGCTATATTAAAGAACTATTAAAATGAGAAACTAGTGATAAAAACCCTGGGCCTACACATATGATTTTATTATGGAACTCACATGCAACCATCTTGTGGGGTTGATTCATTTGCCCTCTCTTCTTCCATGTCCTATATGTGGGCCTTATTAGTGCTATATATCTTCTGGATTGAACAACTATCACTTCTACAAGAAAGATTTAAAAACTAAACTTGGACTTTTTACCCTTCAAGTTCAGTGTTACCAATTTGGCCAGTAGTGCCTCTTGAACTGGAATCTTTCACAGCCACGCTACCCAAGATCCTTTTAACTGGAGAGTCCAGGGAACTTCTGTATGCAAAGAACTAATGCCCCACCCGTTATCCTATTCCAAGAAATAACTCCTTCTATGTAAAACTATTCCTGAAACATTATGCATCTGAGTTATTGATATGCTGCCTTTCCAGTCTGAGAACTGTCCAAAGTAGTGTTAAAATCTTCACTGGATCTGCATAATTATTGACAATAATTCTAAATACATAACATAAACACTTGTATTCCATAACTTTCAGCCATGGTCTCTTATCCTTTCCTCCATAGCCACAAAGAATAAACAGCTTTCAATTTTTAGTAGAATAATTTGAAACATATCATCATAGATCTGCCTACATTCCAACATTTCATTGTCAAAGATCAGAACATTATTGTATCCTTATAACAATCCTATGGTCACATCAAGGTAAATTTAAATAGATAGCACCTCACATTTTGAGGTCAAAGGACTAAATATGTCAAAAGGTTGCTAATCTGTACTAACAGCTCTTGCAAAGACCTCCTCAGTTTGTTTCAGCATTACGAACAGGACTGCCAACTCCAGGTTGGGAAACTCCTAGCGATCTGGGGGTGCAGCCTGGAGAAGGCAGGATATGGAGAGGGGAGGGACTTGAGCAGGGTATAATGCCACAGAGTCCGCCCTCTAAGGCAGCTGTTTTCTCTGGGGTAACTGACCTCTATTGTCTGGAGATCAGATGTAACTCCCGGAGATTTTGAGGCCCCACCCGGAGGATGGAAAGGCAACCCAAAATTTATAGCAACAGCATCATATGGATCTTGCTATTGGTCTGTTGGAGATGTTTTCTGCATTGCAGAAACCAAGGTGCTTGGAATGTTGACAGTTACATAAATATGCTTGATGTTAACATGCTTCAAATGACCTGAATATAATTTTAAGAAATCAGCTACTGCAAAACCACTCACCCTACTCAACAACATCATGACTAATTTCTGAGTTAATTAGCTAGAACAGAACAAGACTCAAACCAAGGGTAACCAACACTGAACTTCAAGGATTTCATAATCTCCTGAACGTTACCTGCTAGAGAAATTATATAAATTTAATGCATAGATCAAATGAGATTAATCCCTATTAGAAGAATTGAAGAGCCAGCATGGTATAGTGGTTGTAGCATCAGACTATGATCTGTGAGACCTTCAGATCCTCACTCTGCCATGGAAACTTGCTGGATAAACACAGGCCAATCACACTGTCTTGACCTAGCCTACCTTACAGGGTTGCTGTTGTGGGCCTGGAGATAAAATGGAGGAGCGGAGATTGATGTAGTAAGCCTCTTCAGATTCCCATTGGGAAGAAAGACAAGGTATAAATATATAAACGAATACATAGACAAATATGATAAAACAAGAATGGAAGAACCATCTTCCAAGTGTTCACAAAGTTTCAAGGAAAGCAAGAAATGTAATGCTGAATTTAAAGGGAGACTATAACGGCTGACAAATTTAAAATAGCCTTATTTGCAAAACTTATCTCAACCAGACAGCATTCAAGGAGAGTTTTGGATATAGAACTTTGACAAAAATCACAGCACAATGATGAGTAACTCATAAAAGTTGCACAGCAAAGAAAAGAACCATCTTCTGACCTTTCCCCAATTGTTAATGTATTTTTATCTTATTAATATCCTGTATCTATAACTCGTTCTGCTGACAGACCTAAGCCTTTAATTTCCTCCAAATTCTATTCCTTACTAAAAAAGCACCTCAGTCATTAAATTTATAGAAAGAATGATTGCATTTTCATCAGGGTTTCAGATGTTATCCTTTATACCAAAGGAATGACTTCATTCTAGCTTCCAGATGGAACTTCAGAGTTCAAACTAATTTTGATCTAAATTCTGGTCAAAAGCTCTCAGAAAGCAAAATAAAGCTCCATTGGTGCCAGTGCCAGGTTAGGAGTTTGGGAGTGCTCCTGGATTCTTCCTTAACAATGGAAGCCCAGGTAGCAGCCACTGCTAAGTTGGCCTTTTACCATCTTCGGCTGATTAGGCAGTTGGTTCCCTTCCTTGACCGCAACAACCTGGCCACAGTGATCCATGCAACGGTCACCTTGAGACTGGACTACTGTAACACTCTCTACATGGGGCTGCCCTTGTTGCAAATTCAGAAGCTTCAGCTAGTGCAGAAAGCCGCGGCCAGGCTGCTGATGGGCGTACCTAGATGGGAGCACATCCAGCCTGTGCTGAAGGCCCTGCACTGGCTGCCAATAGCATACCGAATCCGCTTCAAGGTGCTGGTGCTCACCTTTAAAGCCCTATATGGCCAGGGTCCGACATACCTGAGGGACCACCTTTCCCCATATATACCCCAGAGAGCACTACGGTCGGGGTCACAACATCGATTAATTATCCCAGGTCCCAAGGAGGCCAGGCTCGCTGTCACCAGGGGCAGGGCCTTTTCAGTGATGGCTCCTTACTGGTGGAATGAGCTCTCGGAAGAGATCAGGGCCCTGCAGGATCTTTTACAGTTCTGCAGGGCCTGCAAGATGGAGCTTTTCCACCAGGCCTTCAACTAGGAGACACCCCTACTATTACCATCATCGAGCCTGGCCCTCAGCTCTAACATCTGGCTCATTCCATCAAGTGACTCAGGACAACACTGAGCTGGAACTCAGCTGTTGGAGACATCTGTAGCACGCCACTGTAAGGAATGAATTGTATAACTAATAGCATTTTATGATTTTATGGTTTTATCTGTTTAGTACTGTTTTATATGGTTTTATCGGCAACTGGTACCACTACTGTAAGCCGCACTGAGCCCGCTTGCGGGGAGGGCAGGGTATAAATGGAATAAATAATAAAAATAACACAACAATAATTTTGATTGGGAATTCCCAAGAGCAACATGAAAGGGGAGTTGGAGGGCTGCCATGGGAAGAGAATGGGTGGAAATCCTCTCCTCGCATGTGCATATCATTTTTGATGGGTTCCAAACCTATGTATGATATAAAGATGACGACAAAATCTATTTCTACTTACAGCTTATGGTGATTCCAAGCTCTACATTATGCTTCTTTGGTAGTTTTACATGAAAAGTGCCACTACTTGGTATGACAGACTCTGTAATTAAAAGCTGTGTCATTTATATTGTACACCAGGCTCAACCATATTTACAGCATTTTCGTCATTCACACCTTTCCCATTCCTTAAAGCTAATGTACAAATCTGAGACAAATAAACACAGCAAATGTTTTATCTTTCTGATCTTTATGGTGAGGAACCTAAATCACATTCTTCGAAAACTGAAAGATGAAGTTATGTATCATACTAACAGTGCAGTCCTAAACAAAGTTACACCTTTCTAAATCCACTGAAATTGATTGGCTTAGAAAGGCTTACCTCTGCTTAGCATTGCAGATGCAGCACTGATTTAAAAATGGTTTGTAAATACTGATTAGTAACAAGAAATACAGTTTCTACCACAGTGAGAATATCTGTGTACACACACACACACACACACACACACAGAGAAACAGTCAATTGACTGTTTGTCTTTTGATCAACCTGTGTGGCTGTTCAGCAAATTGCGTCACCTTCATAACAGTGGTTAAGTGCGCGGACTCTAATCTGGGAGAACTGGGTTTGATTCCCCACTCCTCCACTTGCAGCTGCTGGACGACCTTGGGCAAGCCATAGTTCTGTCAGAGCTGTTCTTGAAAGGGTGTCTTCTGTGTGGAGGGGAAGGGAAAGGAGTTTGTAAGCTGCTCTGAGACTTCAAGTGAAGGGTGGGGTATAAATCCAATCTCCTCCTCCTCCTCTTCTTCTTCTGTATAACACATTTGGCTTTTGCACATGCACATTCTGACGCAACCCCATCGCAATCTACTCCCCCCTTTTATGCTGCTGCTCTGCCCAGCAAGCAATTGTTTGCACATGTTGCCACCCCACCCCTGCTTGCCTTCAGATAACTTTTTTTTTTTAAAATGGCAATGGCACAGTAACTTTCTAATGAACTTTTGCCATAATATCCTGTAGAAAATGGTCTCAGACTTCTTTTCTTTCTTTAATGAAAGCTGGAAATTCAGAGGAACCCTAGCAGGTTGTGGCCATAGATTGTCAGAACATAATTGTGAAATTGTGATGTAGCAATACTTGATTTTTTTTTAAAGCCCCCAAACACCCTCCTGGGGAATGGGGGAATGCATGGACAGTTACAGAAGAAGAAGTGTTCGGATTTATACCCCGCCCTTCACTACCCAAAGGTGTCTCAGAGCGACTTACAAACTCCTTTCCCTTCCCCTCCCCACAACAGACACCCTGTGAGGTAGGTGGGGCATATAAATCAGTAATAAATAAACATGGTGTTTATAAAACTAAAGCCTACCATTCAGTATTCATCTAAGTAGTCCTTAGTGATGTTAATGGCTGGTGATCTGTTTGAATCAGCAGCATTTTGGTACATGTGCAGTTTTGCAAAAAAAAACGATGCAACAAAAATTTGATGCAATTCCATTTGGCAGACACTCAATTCATTGTCAGACCAAATGGCCCCAGTGATTAACTCGTATCTGATCTTCACAGTAGAATAAGGTTAGTCCAACTGTCAAACATATTTGACATGAAATTTGTGGCATCCCTACTTAGGACCAGCAGAGCCCTCATTCCACCCTCCACCCTCTTGTCTCATTGGATGGCAGCAACTATACTATAGCTAAGCTGCGTACTCAGAGAGCAAATACTGCTCTGCCTGGTTACCTATGTACTCTACCTTTGTTTCCATAACAGAAGAAAAGAAGGGTACAAATGAAATTATAAGAAGACAATTGACCCATGTTTGTATATGTGATAGCAATTTCAAATTCAAAAGAAAAGAGCTGACTCCTACCATTCTAGCAAGATGAGATACTTGAGTATTCATACCTGCAACATCAAATTCTACTTCCAAAGTGACCTTGCTAGTGATAGAAGAATCTCTGAGCAGCTGATTAGCTTCATCAAAAGTGCTATCTTCAGTTGGGATCCCATTTATAGCCAGTACCCTGTCTCCGATTTGTAAGATGCCACACCTTGACATAACAAAACAGGCCAGCATTATAACCCATAAGGAATCAAAGCAATAGCCAAGGAAATCCAATTCAACCGATACAACAGAAGGACCATAAAACAAATTTATGTTATATGAAACTATATACAATATGTAATCCAAAATTCTGGTATTCTTAAAATTTGATTTTAGCTAAAACTAAACAGAGATGGATGCATTTGCTGCCAGTTTAGCATCAAAATGATTTGAATTAAGTTTTAGAAACGCCATTAGGAAAAATGCTGTCGAATTAACATAGGTCAGTGTTCCCTCTAAGCCGAGTTAGCGTGAGCTAGTTCAGTTTTTTAGCCTCCACACATTTTTGTCTTAGCTTAGGAAAGATGGCTCCAGAGCAAACTAATCACTCGCTCACAGCTTTAATGCCAGTGGCTCACAAAGTAGAATTTTTGCTTAGAAGACTCCACAGCTTAGAGGGAGCATGAGCTTGTTGAAGGCAAACTTCTAGATAAGGCTCTGTTGCTTGTTATTCTTCTCATACCAGATTTAAACAAAAAAAAACTCATTGCATGTCATATTTTCACTGAGCAACATTCTATTATTTATCAGAAATCTGAAAGTAACTGGCGCAAACCTTCTGCATAGCAGTTCTCAGCAATAAAAATACACAAGGAATCTTCTCAAAGTACCTCACCTTTCTGCTGGGCTGTCAGGCTCAATATATGATATCAGAGGTGGTGAAGACAAGGTCTCAGTAGCAAACACACTACTCTGGAGCTGTATCCCAAATCCTACAACAGGGTCAGCTGTCAGCACTACTTCCATGGTTTCTGTGTGGACAACCTGCCCAGCCAGGCCAACAGTGCTAGAAGCAAGGGACACTGTAGAATACAGCAGACAAGGATCAATGACATTAAGAAACAGACGGCACGAATTAAATCACTTTCTGAAACAAATGCCATCAAAATCAAGTATAACTATTAAAAACTTCTATTTAAAAAATCAAAATATTTATGACCGACAGAGCAAGGAATATTTAAACAAATATTGCATATAAAGCTGAACATATGAAATGTTACAATTGTTGAGAACACATCTTGTGAGTATATAATACATAATATCTTTCTAATACGATTTTGATCCTTGAGTCACTAAGGATCTAAGAGTTTTTGTCAAGGCTTAGAGGTGTTGATTTAGAGTTTCCAATTTTCCCAAGTTGTTTCCTAAAGGGAATATTATAACTCTGAACCTACATAAAGTTCCCTCTAATTCTTCCCCCCTACTGAGCAGAGCAGTTCACATCCTCAGCAGAATATAAATGCTGTAATCTTAAAATACAAAAACAACAAAGGACAACAGAGTGAGAGAGCTGCACCGGCGTAATCTTCGGGGGGGCTGGGGGGCTGGCGCCCCCCGAAATTTCCTAGAAACCCCGCCCACCAGGCAGAGGCGCCGTGCTTCGGGACGGGGTGGGGGCTAGGTGAGCCTTGGCGCGCCTCGGCGCATGGCTACTGCAGCGTCGCCGGAGCCTGGCTTTTGTTAGCGGGCGCCTTCGGGTTTGGGGGAAGGAGGAAAGAGCGCCCGGGAGCACGGCCGCCCTCCCCCCAGCTGCCCGGCAGACTCTAAAAAAGTTGGCGAGGACGGAGCAAAGCCTTCGGAAGCCGGGAAGCCCATTAGCGCAGCTACAGCCTCCCCAGGGAGGGGAGGGAGAAACAGAGGCTGCCACTCAATCCCTCCCTCCTCAATTTCCCTCTCCCTGCCCAGCTCTCTGGCGCGCGTCGTAGCCCGGTGCTTTCCATTCCCCCTAGCACCCTCGCGGGGACAGCCCCGCTGGCGAGACGCTTTAATTAATTGCCCCCTAACAAGCACGGGGCGGGGGAATCTGTCGCGCTGGAGTGTCGCTGCAGCCCCAAGACCGCGTGACCTGGCTGGAGAGAGCCTGCCCTTTGCCCGGAGAAGTGCCTTCCCGCCGAGGCAGCGTGGCTGGCGGCCCGCCGGGACTCTCCGCCGCTCGGCCACAGTTCCCACACACACAGACACACACGCGCGCGCACCCCGCCCCTCGGCCTCCATGCGTGCGCCCTCGCAGGGACTCAGGGGAGGAGGAGGACGAGGAAGGGGCCCCGTGGCCGTGGGTGGCCCTGTTGCGGCACGGCGTGCCAGTCCAGCCTCGGGCGGGTTCTGCCTCGGGAAGGCTCCTTGGCTGCGTCGCGGCCTCTTGGTGCTTGGGGGGGGGTCAACAGTGGGAGGGCTCCTAGTGTCCTGGCCCCACTGCTGGACCTCCTGATGGCCCCTGGTATTTCTGGCCACTGTGTGACACGGAGTGTTGGACTGGATGGGCCTTTGGCCTGATCCACTATTGGCTTCTCTTATGTTCTTATGTTAAGAGCAGAGGTCCATCAGTGGCTATTAACCACAAGGTATAGATAGGAACTCTCGGTCTGGGGCAAGTGATGCTCTGTATTCTTGGTGCTTGGAGGGGGGCAACAGTGGGAGGGCTTCTGGTGTCCCGGCCCCACTGGTGGACCTCCTGGCCCCTGGTATTTCTGGCCACTGTGTGACACGGAGTGTTGGACTGGATGGGCGATTGGCCTGATCCAACATTGGCATCTCTTATGTTCTTATGTTACACTCTTCTGTCACCTGCATCCAGTGGGCTCAGTAGGGTGAAATTCTGTTTCAGATTACAGTGTCAGCCATGGTTTCTGACTGTGTTGTAAATATTTCTGTGTTAGGTTTCTCCACTTGCACCTAGTATGTAGTGAGTGTGTGTGGGGGGGAACAGTGATGGGTAGGAGAATTTTTGTGGTTTCTTTTTTTAAGTAATGTCAAAACAGTCAGATATTAGTCTGACACAGAACTAACAGCTCTCCAAAAGCAACTGCTCATATTTTAGTTGAAGGGGGATTTTGGAAAATAGCAGCCAGAAACTAAAAAAAAAAATTGGATAGCTGTTTATTGGTGTTGATGGGAAAATTGTTTATTGGGTGGCATTTGCTGCAGTTGCTAAAGCAGGGACACAGTTACATTTATGAATCCTCAGTAACTACATCTTAAAGCTAAAAAAGATCTGTGGAAACCTATTTATAAAGAATGGATTAGATAAGATGCCACTGTTCTTTGACAATAATGATTCACAAATAATAAACCCATAGAGTGGATCCAAGTATTCAGGAGCTGAGTTTCCTAGGAGGAAGGTACTGGACCAACCCTGTGGGGGGGGGGGCTTTAAAATGCATAAATGATGACTGACAATGCCAGGTAATGTTCCTGCTAGTGAAGTTGGGATTTTTATGTAGTTACTTGTGTTCCCCGCTCCCCCTACAGATTACAGAATACATAAAATGGTCTGTTTTAATATGATTGACTTATGTTACTGTATGTACGTTTTTGAGCTACCCAGAACTCTCCACCAAAGAGCTGAAATGAGACAGGAAAAAGATCCTTCTGAGGGGAAGTTCTTTGCAGCTTAAGAAATTGCATGTTCTTACATCAAGAGAGGTGGTGGGCCGGTGGAGCAGGAAGACGTGCGCTCGCTCCTCGGGGAATAAATCCAATCTCTTCTTCTTCTTCTTCTTCTTGTGTGGTGGGCTAGTTGTGGCAAATGGTAGGGAAGCTCAGTATTTCTGTATACAGTTGTAGGGGCTTTATTGCAATGTGGTATGGCCTGATATTATGTTCTTATTCCAGTGTGGGGTGTGTGGGGGGCCTTCTAAGTTTCTAAGCAGTGTGCTAAGAAGGCAACTGTTCCTGGGGTTAGCCCAGCCCAGGGACATTGCTAGGGCGGTTCCCAGGCCTCCCTAAATTTCTGGGGAGCCCATCCCTAAATCCCTAGCTCCTCCCTATGATGTCATTGGGTCCCAGTTCTTTTAATGACTTAGCAATGCCTCTGGCCGAGCCCCAGCCCCCCCCCGGGAAATTGGAAAGTCTACGCCCTTGAGCTGCTGTAACCAAAAACACTAAACTCCGAAAGTGGGCTGCACCTCAAAGGCTCCCAAATCCTATATAGTAAGAATATAAAAGTTCCACCAATAATAATTCACAAATAATGCCCTATTGAAAACAGGATAATAAGTGGGATCATCCCACTTTTGAACTGTCAGCAGGCAGAGCAGGATTTACTGTGGAGTATATGTTCCTTTTTGATGAAAGTGTCAATTTATTATCCTGGATGGGAGACTGGGAGATTATCAGCAAAGGCTTTGGGAGGCTTTAAAAGTTTTTCATACTGTTTCATTCAACATAGATTCATTCTCACTGTAATTGCGACCGAAGAAGAACTCTGATGGAAACAAGGAACTATACCGGGACCTTGTATTGCTGTTACTGTTATCTCTGAATGTAATTGTTCCTCACTGTTATTCTAATCTTTGAATGTTATTGTTTCCAGTTTTATAGGATAGTTGGTTAGTTCGATTTTGCTTAATTACATCCTATTTGGTCATTTGGCAACTGTGCTTTTGTAAATTTTGTGAGTTCATTTGTACTGACTTTGTATTTGATTACAGTGTTGTATTGTTTTCAATAGAGCATTATTTGTGAATTCTTATTGGTGGAACTTTTCTATTCTTACTATATAGGATTTGGGAACCTTTGAGGTGCAGCCCACTTTTGGAGTTTAGTAATCTTAAAATAGGCAATAAGCAACATGGCGCCAGGCGGCTGCTGAGCAGGGCTTCCTGTGTTAATGAGTGGCTGCTCACATGTACAGTTTAGAAAGAACACTGATCCATTGGGAATGCGTCTTATGCTGGATCCTGTAAAAAATATCTGATGATCGAAACAATTTTTATCAGCAGAGCATGACTTCCTTGTCTCCCCACTCTCATTGCCTAAAAAGCTTCCACAAATGCTGCTCCTAAGGGACGGGGACAACCATGAGGTGGTTGGTGATCTGCAGCAGGAACAGGGGAATTGATGAAAATCTCCTTCCTCTCATCAATAGAATTTTACTGCTAGATCTTACTCTGTCTAAATGCAGAAAGACTGATGATTTCTTGAGATCAATAGCAGGTGTGTGTGTGGGGGGGAGAAGTCTCTAGGGGTGTGCGCTTGGTATATACCAAGCCAAATAAATACCCAAAAAATACCCTAACTGCATTTTTTTGGGATTTATTCAGCTGAATCAGACTCTCGAATCTGATTTGGCTACCAATCTAGCTTCACTTGCCGATCTGGGTGAACTTGCGCCGCTTCCGGGTTTTTCACATGCAGGCTGGCTTTGCAAAGGCCATTTAAAGGGAAAATTCCCCTTAAATGGCTTTTGCAAAGCGAAGCCGCACATTTGACTCGTAGAGTCAAGGATTTCTGCCCTGCTGTTAGGTTTTAATGGATATAAACCATTTCATCAATCCCTTTCTCTCCCCTCCCCCACTTGGAAGCAAGGAGGAGCAAAAGGGATCAATGAATTGGCTTCCAATCATGCCAGCCTAACAGCGGCATGGGCTTACCCCCCCCCCACCAGTTTGGTTCAAATGACTAAAAGCCATTTCATCAATCTCTTTCTCTCCCCCCTGCTTGGAAGTGGGGGACAGTGAAAGTGATTGATGAATTGGCTTCCAGCTATGTCAGCCTAACAGTGAGGTGGGGTCACCTGCCCCACTGTTAGGTGAAGTTCAGAGTAGGTTTAAACGCCTTCTGAATGCGCCAAATCATGCCACCGCAATGGCACGACTCAGTGAGTGAACTCAGAAGGGATTTAAACTTTAAATGCCTTCTGAGTTCACTTGCTGAGTTGCACCGCGGTGACGGCATGACTCAGTGAGTTCAGAAGACATTTAAACTTTAAATGCCTTCTGAACTACATTATACTCTATGGCAACTGTCCCCATAGGGTATAATGGAGCTGAATAAATTCGGGTTTCCTGAATATTTACCCAAATCCCAATACAATACCAATAGACCTGAATAGAAAATATACCATTTTTTCACACCCCTAGAAGTCTCACATTCAGACTGTCATGTATATGATGTTTTAATAAAAAAGGGGCCTCTATGGCAGTTGCTTTATCTTCCCTGTTATTAAGAAATCATAGAGATTACTTTTAACATTAGATGTTATAGACCAGTGAATTTTTTATTTTATATTGCTTAACTGATACTGTCAGCAATCCACAGTTAATCTAATAGTTTAACTGAATTAAATATAAATTGGAAAATTTACTCCAACCATAATAAAATTAATAATTGCCAAACGATCTACCTAGAATTGTTGCCAGATGGCTGGTTGTTCCAAGAAACATTATAATTTCATTAAATTTTGCATGCGTTTGGAATATCCACCTTAATGTTTACGTAGTTCACTTTATAAATACTGATGAAAATGGGGGGGGGGGGACAAAAGCTTCTGTCTTCCCAAGACATATTCTTCAAACATGAGAAACCAAGGGATGCTTATAAAAGAAAACAAACCCTGAACAAAGGTAATAAATAGCATGTGACAGTGTAGGGCATCTTAAAGTTTTACCGCCGAGTGTTTGGAAAGCCTACATAAGTAATGCAGCCTCT